ATCCCTTTGTATTTGGGTGGAATGATCTATAGATGTCTGTTAAACATAGTTGGGTCATAACTTCTATTAGTTCTTTTGTTTCTTTATTAAGTTTCTGTCTGGAGGTCCTGTTTAGCGGTGAGAGTGGAGTGTTGAAGTCTCCTACTATTAGTGTGTGAGATTTTATGTGCATTTTGAGCTTTAGTAATGTTTCTTTCACGAATGTAGGTGCCTTTGTATTTGGGGCATAGATGTTTAAAATTGAGACTTCATCTTGATGTACTTTTCCTTTGATGAATATGAAGTGTCCTTCTTCATCTCTTTCGATTGATTTAAATTGGAAGTCTAATTTGTTAGATATTAGGATTGCTACACCTGCTTGTTTCTTGGGACCGTTTGATTGGAAGATCTTTTCCCAACCCTTTACTCTGAGGTAACATCTGTCCTTGATGTCGAGATGTGTTTCTTGTATGCAGCAGAAGGAAGGGTTCTGTCTTTGTATCCATTCTGTGCTAGTCTGTGTCTTATAGGCAAATTGAAGCCGTTGACATTGAGGGATATTAATGACCATTAATTGATGATTCTTGTTTTTGCTTGATTTCTTGTTAGTGAAATTATTTTGTGTACATTCTCCTCCCTTTTTCTTTTGGTGTTTTGTAAAGTTGGATTATATATTGCCTGTGTCTTTGTGAATGTAGTTATCTTCCTTGGGTCTAGGTTTTCCTTCTAGCAGTTTCTGTAGAGCTGGATTCATGGATACGTATTGTTTAAATCTGGCTTTGTCATGGAATATTTTGTTTCCTCCATCTATGGTAATTGAGAGCTTTGATGGATATAGTAGTCTGGGCTGGCATCCTTGTTCCCTTAGCTTTGTAGGACATCTGTCCAGGATCTTCTGGTTTCATCGTTTCCATTGAGAAATCAAGTGTAATTCGGTTAGTTCTGCCTTTGTAAGTTACTTGCCCTTTTTCTTTAGCTACTCTTAATATTTTCTCTTTACTCTGTAGGTTTGATGTTTTGATTATTATATGGCGATGTGATTTCTTTTTCTGGTCCAGCCTATTTGGTGTTCTGTAAGATTATTGCATTTTCATAGGCATATGTTTCTTTAGGTTAGGGAAGTTTTCTTCTATGATTTTGTTGAATATGTTTTCTGTACCTTTGAGTTGTATATCTTTGCCTTCTTCTATACCTATTATTCTCAGTTTTGGCTTCTTCACGGTGCCCCATATTTCCTGGATATTTTGTGTTAAGGATTTGTTGGTTTTGATTTTCTTTGGTTGACGACTCTATATCCTCTAATGAGTCTTCAACACCTGAGATAATCTCTTCTATCTCTTGTATTCTATTGGTGATACTTGCATCTGTAGTTCCCGATCATTTACCCAGCTTTTCTATTTCCAGCATCCCTTCATTCTGTGTTTTCTTTATCGTTTCTATTTCAGCTTTCAATCCTTCAACTATTTGAGTTGTTCCTTCATTTTTTTGGTTGTTTTTTCTTGCTCCTCTTTAGAATCTTTGAGAGATTTGTTTATTTCTTGAATTTTCCCCCATTTCATGGATTTTTTTGTTTGTTTTTTCTTCTATTTCTTTAAGGGATTTCCTCGTTTCTTCTTTGAGGGTCTCCACCATCTTCATGAAATAATTTTTAAGGTCTGTCTCCTCTTCTTTGCCTTTGTAGTGCTTTTCGGGTCTTCCTGGTGTTGGATCCCTAGATTGTGGTGGGGTCATGTTGGTGTTTGTATTGCTGACTGAGCTCTTATTCTGTCTTCTTCCCATATCTTCTTCCAGTGGGTGCTGTTGGGGTTTTTCTGTCTCCACTGGTCTCTTTCCTTCCTGAAGCTGAACCTGGGGATGCTGACACGGAATTTGGGGCCTGGAAGGGCTGATGTCTTTCCTGAAGCTGGACTCGCTGGGTTTGGAGTCTTGGAATGGCTGAGGTCTTTCCTTTCTGGGTGAGTCTTCTGGATGCCAGGAGTGGCTCAGAAGATCAAGGGGATGGGTGTTGGTGGGGGGTCACGCCGGAGACCCAATCTCACCTGAAGCTGGACTCACTGGTGTTTGGGGCATGAAAGGGCTGGTGTCTTTCCTGGGTGGGCAGGTCTTCTGGATGCGAGGAGTGGCCCTTAAGCTGGACTCATTGGTGTTTGGGGCATGAAAGGGCTGGTGTCGTTCCTGTGTGGGTTGGTCTTCTGGATGCCAGGAGGGGCCCTGGAAGATCAAGGGGATTGGTGTTGTGTGGGGGGTCCCGCTGGAGACCCAATCTCACCTGAAGCTGGACTCGTGGGGTTTGGGGCTTGAAAGGGCATATCGTTAGTTTTAAAGAAGTTATGCATGTAGTTTCTCACACTGTTGTACCACTAGTTTTCAAGAAGTTATTCATGTACTTTCTCACAGTTTTGTATCGCTAGTGTTCAAGTAGTTATGCTTATAGTTTCTCACACAGTATTGTATCGTTAGTTATCAATAAGGTACACATGTAGATTCTCACACAGCATTGTATCGTTAGTTGTTGATAAGTACTATGTGTTTAATCTCACACAGCTTTGTATTGTTAGTTTTCAATAAGATACACTTGTAGATTATCACACAGCGTTGGAGAGTTAGTTTTCAATAAGTTACACGTTTAGATACTTACTCAGTGTTGTATCTTTAGTTTTCAGTAAGTTACACCTGTAGATTGTCACACATCTTTTATTGGTATTTTTCTATAAAGTATAGGTGTTGAATCTCACAGAGCGTTGTATCGTTAATTTTCAAAGAGGTACACCTGTAGAATCTCACACATCGTTGTATATTTAGTTTTCAATAAGTTCACATGTAGAATCTCACACATCGTTATATCGTTAATTTTCAATAAGGGACATGAGCAGATTTTTACACAGTATTGTATCGTTAGTTTTCGATAAGTATACGTGTTGAATCTCACACAGTGTTGTATCGTTAGTTTTCAATAAGGTACACGTGTAGATTATCACACAGCGTTGTACCGTTAGTGTTCAATAAGTTGCACGTGTAGAATCTCACTCAATGTTGTATCGTTAGTTTTCAATAAGTTACACCTGTAGATACTTACACATTGTAGTATCTTAATTTTCAGTAAGTTACACATGTAGATTCTCACACAGCATTGTGTCATTAGTTTTCAATAAGGTACAGATGTAGATACTTACACAGTGTTCTATGTTTAGTTTTCAATATCAAACATGGTATGTACTCACTCATATATGGATTCTAGATATGGATCAGGATAGTGCCAGTCTGCACTTCCACAGATAGAGAGTCTGGGAAACAGGAAAGAACCTAAAAGATATGCATATATGCATAGTACCCAAGAGAAGAGGATGGAGACAAGATCCTCTGATGGGGAACACGGCGAGGGGTGGGGGGAGTGGGACCTGGGAAGAATAGAGGGGGTAAAGAGGAAGGGAGTTGGTCATGGGGGAACAGGAAGTTGAGGGGGTGGGGGTAGAATAGGGGGAAGAGGGAATCATAGGATCGAAGACAGATCAGGCACCAGAGTGACCTCGAGTGATCTAAAGGTATAACATCAATTGGCAAGCTAAGCAATAGTGGAGGGACCACCTCGAATGCCCATTCCTGATAATGAACTTGATGTCTATAACCATCCGGGAGCCTTCATCCTGTGACTGATGGAAGCAGAGGCAAACACACAACTAAGCACTGAACTGAACCCAAGGAACCCAGTGACAGAGAGAGAGGAGTGATGAGCAAATTGGCAAAGAATGGGCTGGCAAAACCAGCAGAGACAGCTGATCTGAACAGGGGAGTGCTCTTGGACCCCAGACCGACAGTGGGGAGGCCAGCATGGGACTGATCTGGACCCCCAAATGTGAGTGTCAGCGAGAAGGCCTGGGCAACCTATGGGGCCCTGAGCTGTGGATCAGTGTCTATCCCTGGTATACAAACTGTCTTCATGTGCCTATAGCACAAAGAGAGATGCTCTCTCAGCCTGGACTCTTAGGGAGTGCCTTGACCCTACCAAGAGTAAAATGACAGACTCTAGATATCCCCTATGTGGAAGGATTTGGCAATAGGGTGGGAGGGAGGGGGGAAGGGGAGTGCGGGAGGAGGGGAGGGAGAGGGAACTGGGATTGACATGTAAAACAAGCTATTTAAAATTAAAATAAAAAATGATAAAAAAGAAAAGAAAACATAACCCAAAGTATTAAGTGTTGAAAAAAATAAAAAAATATAGGAAACCAGAGTTTGTAGAATGTAACTGTGGCAGTACTGAGCTGAAAATATTAGCACTGGATGTTTCCACTAGGTTCACAAGAAAATGACTTTGCTCCCATTTTAAGAAACAAAAGAAGGACTGAGAGATGATTCTGCAGTTAAGAACATTTATTGCTTTTATAGAGGACCCAAATTCAGTTCCCAGCACCCACATGATAGCAAACACTACCTGTATCTGATGCCCTCTTCAGATTCACACTCACACACACACACACACACACACACACACACAAACACACACGCTCTTAGTAAAAATAAAATATTTGTAAAAGAAAATATAGAAGGTAATATATAATACAAACTCAGTAAAAGAAAGGAACCAATGAACAAAACCTGTCATTGTAGTGCATCTCTTCAAAATTTGCATCATGCAGTGTAACCACAGCACTGGATATTTAGTGTGGGCAGAGCCACCATGAAGAGCTTTAGCATTCTTCATCAATGTGACTCTAGTGAGCTGCTTCATTCCTCCAGCCCAGGGAAGATGTAAGAAAAAGGCAAAACCTACTCATGAGGAACTAATTATACCCTCAGTTAGGTCCACCAGTGACTGCAATTAGATTTCTCAGCACCCGGAATCCTGGATAATTAATTTATACATTATGTTGGCTGCCTAGTCTGAAGCCTGTTGTTTAACATGTAATCTACATGCTAAACCACACAACATGCTAAATCACAACAACACAGTGAGCTACCCGCAATCACTCACTGAATCTCAGTGGGCTTGGTGTCAGCTCCTGCTGAGACTAGCTCTCACTCTTCTTTGATATAAAGCCAATCAGTGACATTGACAATACTCTAATACACCCTTGTCATATCGGGCAGCTCTAAGCAGTGTGTACTCATCTCTATCACACACACACACACACACACACAGACACATGTGCAGCACTCTTACCTTTGCTCTGCTTCATGAGCTCTTCTATGAGTGACAAGATTGTGTCAAAATTGAGCATTTCACAGTACTCTGAGATTCTTTCATGCAGGACAAATGTATTAGGGCCAAACTTATTAATTACTTCTTTGACCTACAAAATGAGTAGTAGCAATTTCAGATGTCTATAGGTTATTTATACCAAACACTAAAGATGTGGGAAGTATCCAATTTTTATGTTACCAAATAGATATTCTGGGTGTAGTTAAGCACACTTTTAATCTCAAGACGGAGAAGCTGGTGAATATCTATTAGTTCCAGGATAGTCTGGTCAAAGTAGTGAGTTTCAGGCCAATCAAGGATACACAGTGAGACCTTGCCTCAACAACAACAAAAAACGTAGATATATATTTCATAGAAAAGATAGCTTTACATTGGTTACTCTTTCTTTTTTCTCCTCTTCCTTTTGTATTTAAGTTAGAAACAGCTTTTTCACATGTCAGTCCCACCTCACTCTCCCTCTCCTCCTCCCCTGCCCTCCTCCTCAGCCACCCCAGGGTTGCTTTTCCTTAATAATCTTTTTCAAAATGTCTACATATGACTAGAAATACAGTTTTTTAATTTTACTCTCATAATATATTTTAAAATTAATGATGTATTGGCTTGTGTTTTACACTGTATTTTAATTAGGCTATTTTAAATTAATTTTTCCATACCTTATTTGTTGCTTTGGAAGTTTTCATCACAGACCTACAATAACATAAAATCTTTTCAGAAAAATATCAAATGTATTAAACACAAATTCCAATTTTCCTTCTTTCCATAGTACGTTATGACTATTTGAACTACAATGACTACATATGCAAGAACAGGATTGTAAACAAGACAAGAACTAGGAATCAGAAATGTATTATCACTACCACCATCATAAAACGAAAAGTTTTAGTTCATCATCCTACCAGTTAAGGCAAAATGCGTTGTTTTATAGAAATAAATACACGAAGATTTCAACTGTAATTTTCAGCAAAAATATTTTTCGTCAATAAAACTCATTTTAAAATAGTATTTTCTTCTTTATACATGGTGAACATTTAGTGACAGAACATAAGGCAGTTTTTCCTTGGGAACTATGACTCATGTGGTACTCACTATGTGTGATAGTTCATTTTTGAACTTACAGCTTCTATATTGAATTAGATGAAAATATTCCAACCCAGCAATAATCTCTTACCACAGAAATACAAGTACGAATTCAAGTTCAATGCACCTTGTCTAGTGTAAATCTCCCAAGGCAATGTATTAAGATTTCTAATGTTTAGACATCAAAACATAACAAATTGAATAAACATGCTCCTCTCTGCTAGATCAGTCTGACACCATGCAACCATATTCTAAATCTTTCATGTTAAAACTCTAAAATACATTAGTCTATGAATATGACAATTTCAGTATCTTGATGACTGTTTAGAGAATGTACAAAATTTATGATTTCACCATGAATAGCCACACCCTCAGCATACACACATATGAAACATATTGTTATAAGTGTGTTTATTATGTATATTATATACCCTTGATATGTACATATAACATATGGTCACCTGTAGTATAAAACAAATAAATGTATTTAACATCATGTATACATATGTCTTCACAAGGAATATTTTTCCATCTCAGAATGATCTTCCTGAGTAAACAATTAGGTTTAAAACAGTAAAATATTTGAAATTCTGATACATGCCACACATAATAAATTAACCTTGAAAATCTGTTCATTGATTTCAATGACAGTGCTTGCAAATGCTTTATTCTCAAATTTGCCAACACTGGTTGCAATTTTAATAAAATATGTCAGCAGAATGGGAAATAATAGCATCTGGTTGTTGATTAACATCTTATGATCATGCAAGACAGAGTGTCCCAGGTGTAAGAAGTATAGGACATGTTCATCAGGCACACAAGTTTCAGTGGAGAATAGGGTCTGCTGTTAAATAATCACTGTAGCCTTACCCATGCTCTACTTGGTTCTCCACTTGGTCTTTAGCCTTTTCATCAAGTGCTTGAAAAACTGAAGTTGCAGCACCAAGGTTCAGGTTTTCTGTCGAATCTACCTCATTGACATTGTGCTTCTCAGTTTTTTCTGTGACCTTTGATAACAGTTTGATATGAAGAATAACTAATTTTAATTTTTAAAAAATCTTTTATGTGTATGAGTGTCTTGTCTGCATGTATGCCTGTGCAGTATGTACAGGTCCCATGCTCAAGAAGCCAGAAGGGGGCAGCTAATCCCACGGGAATGGAGTGACAGATAGTTGCCAATCACCATGTGGGTGCTGGGGTCCTCTGAAAGAGTAGCCAGCCCAGTGCTCTTAACTGCTGAGCCATCTCTCCAGCCCAATAACTGATGTTCTTTAATATAAAAACTTTTTCATTAATTCCACCACTTGACTCATTAATTTCCACAATTTACTTTCATAAAAACTACCTTGTGGTGTGAGGGAGGCTCTCGATGCTTAAGAGACTTTCATGTTCTTCCAAAGGGAACAACTTTGGTTCCCAGCCCTCAGAGCCAGATGCTCACAACTGCCTGTAACTCATGCTCTGTCTTCTGGCCACCTTAGCCACATACAGGGATGGAAGAGAGACACACATACAAATAAAAATAACTATATAAAATAGAAAGCACAACTTTATATTGAGTTTAACTGCATAATTACATGGCATCAATACTTATATAATTTGCCTTGTTTCTGTTTGATCAAAAAGGAAGAGACCATTGCTAAATGGTCATGTTATCAAACAGCCTTCTAAATATTAGTGTTTATACCCATATATCTGTGCTACTCTCAAGCCCAGTTAGTGTTGGAACAGAGTCAAGAATCAGAGTTGTGCGAGAATGCTGAGGCTCATAAGAAAACAGGACAAGAGCCTTGTGACCTCGTTTTCATCAAAACACAGAAATGTTCTGGGAATGTGTTTCCATGCTCCCCCTAGTGGTAGCAGATAGGAGTGAGTTTACTTCATGTGTTGATATTCATTAGCCTCTATGGAAAAACGTATTTTTGTCACGTGTGACTTGTCCTTGTGATTGAACATCTTACTCATGTGATTTTTCTTAGGCCTCGGAGTATAAATTGCCTGATTCTCTGAGTAAAGTGGATTATTGCACAAGACTGTAGTCTGCCTCATTTTTAGGCCCAGCTCTCCCAGGTTCATACTGCCAGCTAGAGCAGCAATAAGTGAGAGAAGATTCTTTATGCATGAACATTAATTAGTGCAGAAACTTAGACTTGCTCCAAGTGCCAAGAATATAACACTGTGTATGCTCAAACATAAGTGGGGCATCTATAACATGTCCCAAGCTCAGAGAACACTGAAGACCATCTGAATTGGGAAACATAAGAGCCAGAGAACAGGGAGGAATGTTTTCTTCTGGACTTAAGATAGTTGTTATAGTCATGAACCCGAAGCAGCTATGGTTACCGGCATATAACTTGTAGAAAATAAAAATAGTCAAAATTACAGAACTACAGGATAGTGGCTCATGAGGCCCCACACTTAGCTAAGGAGCAATTGATGGTTGATGACTGCTGGGGGAGATTATTTTTTTTCCTTTGGGAGTGTAGACAATGGTAGGTTGACCACACTACCGAAGAGATGGCCTCATAGCTATAAATATATGAATAGCATTAATTATACTCAGTGGAATAACTAAAAATTGAGGAAACAGAGGGGAAAGAGGAGGAGAAAGATGTTGTTGAATATTTGTTTTCCTGTGCAAAGATGTGTTGCATTTGTTAAACTACATGAAGATGTGTTGCTGTTTTACCTTGCCTGCCTAAGGCACCTAATTGGTCTAATAAAAAACTGAATGGCCAATATCAGAGGAGGAGGTATAGGTGGGATTTCCAGGTAGAGATGGCAGGGTCCTGGCATTAAAGGCATGCTCCTTCAGACAGAACTGAGTGCTGAATTGTTTATGCAGACAGGTATTGAAGAAGCAAAACACCATGAGTCAGAATGGTCATAGACAGACTCAGATACAGAAGCAACTATAAGTAATTTCTGTAAACTAGGGTCAATTAGTAAATGTTTTAAAAAAGAATAGCACAAGGAAAGGTGAGATAATGAAATCAGAATAATTAACTAACAGCATAAAAATCATATGCCAGGAAAATAAGCCATATTATGCACAGTTCCAGAAAATACTTTTCCTTGACAAACTGTCTGAATAAAGTAGGGACAGGAGCACACCTTTAATCCCAGCACCTGGGAGGTGGAGGCAGGCAGATCTCTGTGAGTTTGAGACCAGCCTTGTGACTTACAGAACAGGCTTCAAAGTAACAGAGAAATCCTGTAACATGAAAAATAAAAGACACACAGACTGATACTGGGGTCCAAACTTCAAACTCAAGATCAGAAAAGTAAAACAGCCGGGCCAATAAATCTTACCTCTGCCTCCAGCTGAAAGGTGATCCTGGCTCCACCAAACCTCACACTACAACCCCACACTGCTATGCTCTAAACAACCTGGCTGGAGAATCCTGAGACAGACTCCTAAAGACCCTGCTCTTATTTTTATACCTCTCTAGTGCTGGGATTAAATGTGTGAGCTCTGCTGCTCATTTAGACTGATTCAATCTCACTGAACCCTAGGTGGCCTTGAACTCAGAGATCCATCTGCCTTTGTCTCCTGAGTCCTGGGATTACAAGTGTGTACCACCACTGCCTGATCTCTATAGCTTGAGGTGACTTGGCTTTCTGAATCCCCAGGCAAGCTTTAATAAATCTTAATTGATATATTACCACAATACCTTATCTTGAAAAACCAATAAAATAAAATGAAATAAAATGGTGGTAGGTTGGCCATTGGAACGTTGAAAAGTAAGAGCCACACAATCCCAGTTCGGATCAGGAAATTAAATCCATGAATAGACACTTTACCTTATCTTTGGATTCGTTTGCTGAACTGGAACCACGGGAGTTGGATCCCCCAGGTGTCCTTCAGTGAAAAAACGTACAATATACAGGGATGAGTATGTTTCTCTAACACACTGTGGTGTGCAGTGCAGCTGTGGGTTAAATGTGTTTCTGCACTGATATGATTCCTCTTGCGGTTTAAATAAGTTTTTGGTTATCACATTCTACCCTTACTACTCTGAAATATTCAGGAAAACATCACTCACAGTTCTAGTTATCCACCTATTACAATCCAATTTACAATCATATTAGGTAATGTTTTCAAGATCAAACAGATACATTGTAGCTCCATCTAGTTTCCTGTAAATTTCAACATTTTTGTCTCTCTTAGCAGCTGAATAATACAACACTGTGTAAATATGCCATATTTTCATTATTCATGCATCAATTGGCAGGTATCTTGGATTAATCTAATTTTGACTATTGTGAAGGGAGCAGCAGTGACGATGTGTAAGAAAGTATCTCTATGATAAGATGTATGGTCCTTTGGGCATCAGACAGAAGTGATACAGCTAGATCTGGTAGTAGATCTATTTCTAGCTTTTTGAGGCACCTCCACACTGCTTTCCATAGCAGTTGTACCAGTTTTCACTCATACCAGCAATGAATACTCTGCCTCTTTCCCTATGTCTGCACCAGTATCTGCTCTCATTTTTTTCCATTTTTAATTTAAATTAGAAACAAGCTTGTTTTACATGCCAATCTCAGTTCCCTCTCTCTCCCCTCCTCTCCTGCCCCTCACCAGTCCCCTATCCCATCCCCTTATGCTCCCCAGGGAGGGTGAGGCCTTCCATAGGAGATCTTCAAATTCTATCACACCATTTGGAGCAGAGCCTAGATCCTCCTGCGTGTGTCTAGGCTGAGAGAGTATCCTTCTATGTGGAGGAGGATCCCAAAGTCCTTTCGTGTAGTAGGGATAAATACTGATCCACTACCAGAGTCCCCAAAGATTAACCAGACCTCCAAGTGACATCCTCATTTAGGGGTTCCTGAACAGTCCTATGCTGGTTTCCCAGATATCAGGCCGGGGTCCATGAGCAACCCCTTGTTCAGGTCAGCTGTTTCTGTGGGTTTCTCCAGTCTGGTCTTGACCCCTTTGCTCATCACTCCTGTCTTTCTACAACTGTATTCCAGAGTTCATCTCTTATGTAAAGAGAAGACTTTTCCTTGCCAGCGGCTTGGTTTTTCACCCACCAGTCTCCTGGGCTCTGCTACGTTGTAGTCCCCAAATAACACACAAGACACTCTATTAATTATGAAGCTGTTGGCCTTGCTTGTTTCTTACTGGATAGCTCTGACTTAAGTATTTATCCCATAATTGCTAATCTAAGTATTTCTCTTACCGGAGAAGTTTCAGGGCTTCTTATCCCTATGGCAGTTACATCTTGACTCCCTGTGTTTCTCCTACCCAGAAGTCCTCCTTGACCCATAGTCCCACCTATCTTGCTTCCCTATTGGCCAACAGTGCTTTATTGACATATACACAGGACTTCCCCAACACATCTCAGTGTTTAGCTGTGGGTGTCTGCTTGTTTCCATCAACTACTGGATAAAGGCTCTAGGATGCAATATAAGGTACTCGTCAATCTCAATATCAGAGAAGGGCATTTATGATAGATTTTCGACTGTTGCTTAGAGTGTTAGTTTGTGTCAACCTTGTAGATCTCTGGACATTTTGTTAGTGCCAGATTTCTCTTTAAACCTATAATGGCTTCCTCTATTATGGTATCTGTTTTCTTACTCTTCTCTATTCTTCCCCGGAATCCATCTTCATGATTTCTCCTGTCCTCCTCTCCCCTCCTCTTCTCCCCTTCTTTCTTCTATCTCCCACTCCCCTACCCCCATGCTCCCAATTAGCTCAGGAGATCTTGTCCCTTTCCCCTTCTCTTGGGGACCATGTATGTCTGTCTCTCTTAGGGTTCTCCTTGTTTCCTAGCTCCTCTGGTGGTGTGGATTATAGGATGGTACTCCTTTGCTCTAAGTCTAAAATTCACATATGAGTGAGTAAATACCATTTTTATCTTGTTGTGACTGGGATACCTCACTCAGGGTGGTTTCTTCTAGTTCTTTCCATTTGCCTATGAATTTCAAGATTACATTGTGTTTATTTCCCCCAGAGTAGTGCTCTATTGTGTAATTTTACCACATTTTCGCCATCCATTCTTCAATTGAGGGACATCTAGGTTTCCTCCAGGTTCTGGCTATTACAAATAAGGGCTCTATGAACATGGTTGAACATACGTTCTTGTTGTATGAATGTGCATCTTTTAGGTAGATTCCTATGAGTGGAATTGCTCCATCTTGTGGTACACTGATTTCCATTTTCCGGAGGAACTTACATAGTGATTTCCAAAGTGACTGTATGAGTTTGCACTCCCACCAGCATTGAAGCAGTGTTCTCTTTTCTCCACATCCTCTCCAGCATAGACTTTCAATGGTGTTTTTGTTATTAGCCATTCTGACAGGAGTGAGATTGTATCTCAGAGTTGTTTTGATTTGCATTTACCTGATGGCTAAGGATATTGAGCACTTTCTTATATGTCTCCAACCATTTTAGATTCCTCTATTGAAAATTCTCTATTTAGTTCCATACCCCACTTTTTAATCGGAAGGTGTTTTGGTGACTTGCTTCTTGAGTTCTTTGTAAATTTTGGAGATCAGCCCTCTGCCAGATGTGGGGTTGGTGAATATTTTTTCCCATTCTGT